TTCAAAGTATTGACACTTAAATATTATGGCTAATACCTTGAAGTCAGAGTAGAAATTTCATGATACTTAGTTGAAATTCACGTTAATAAGTAGAAATTTCAAGATACTAAGTCGAAATTCTAAGTTACTAAGTTGAAATTTCATGTTACTGTGTTGAAATTTTAAGATTTTAACCCTTGTGCGGATACAAGGAGTATTTTGGGACCCCACGACCATATCCTTAATATTTTGTGGGGAACTGGTTCATAATTCTCTAGCGAGAATTTTATACATTGTCAGCTATTTAACATCGGGAATAATGCTGCAAATAGAACGGAAGTGAGGCAGTGCACATTCACCATTTGACAAGAAACTAAAAGTATTACATTATCGCTCCCCTCCCCTTTCCTTTAAACATTTTGCTGGTTACAAGTGCCTAATCTGTTCTGCGCTCGGTGCAAAGCTTTGTATTTGGAATCTTTCTTACTGATGATATTGTTTGTAACATGTTTGATTGTATCATTGCTTGATAACGGTGAGAGTATCCTGATTGAAACGTTGCAGTTAATAAACCTAGTGAATGTTATCCATAAAGTTGTCATTTTATTATGATGATATTGTGTTGATCATTCTAGTAATCTAGATCTAAAAACAAATCTAGGTACACTACGTCAAAAGACGATTCTACATTTGCAGATTTTGATGGTTTAAAAAAATATCTTATAATTCATATCTTCACTGTTAATACCTCAAATATTTTTTTTACTTTGATTGATTATTCTTCAGTCCTTATATGAAGCTCTAGTTTGATCGTATTTGAATAAAATTATGTATACAAAACCTATTTATGTCTGGAGTCTTAGATTACCCCTTGTTGCCAACAAGGTTTTTCGTGCGATGTGTTCGCACAAGGGTTAAGCTGAAATTATAGTAAAAAAATTAAAAAAACATGTCCCTATTTAGTTTCCATAGAGTATGGCCATCAAATATATATCTGTTATTATCTACTGAATAAGTGCCATAGTAATCTGCAGTTTAATCAAAAATCGAGACACTTGATATTATCTGATTTTATTTTATTTTCTTATATTGCCTGATAATTTTTTAAAAGTAATATTAACTAATCGCACCTGCAACATTATTTATTTGACAAATAAAATCTGTTCAATTTACCAGTGAACAGATCAATCAGTTTTTATCGCAATAATATTCTAGTTATTATACTCCAGATGTTAGTTTTGGTTTTTAAACTTCAACATTTTATATTTTAATCAAATAAATAACCTGTACATAGCTGAATAATTTACTTAAGTTACTAGTCGTGCAGCTGTGGAAAATAAGCCCTCGTTCAATTTCTGGTCCGTTGTGGCCTCACCCTCCGTCTTTCATTAAAAATACAGATGGTTATTTTAAAATAATATTTTGTATGAAGTGGTGTCATACGGTTTTTATAACCATGACTTTTAATCAAATTTAAACAGGCTAAACCTTATCTAAAAAATATAATACAAAAGACAGTAAAGTTTACTCGATTAACAAGGCGCTTACGATTTTGAAATTTTGAAATATCGGGGTGTCATTGTCAATGGTAAATTGTGGCGCATATTTGGACCCGAATTCATTTTTATCAGCTACATCACCCAACCAACAAGAAGCTCAAATATAGGCCAACACGTTTCATATAAACATAGTAAGTGCATTTTTTTATATTGCTATTTAGGTAGGAATGGTTCCACTACTGATGTCTTCCGCCTTGCTCCAGCCACAGTGGTGGGTCGTCCTAAGGCTTCCTTTGAGCAAGTTTTGTAGTCAAAGTTACTGGCCTATAACTCCCTTAATTTCCAATTAAACTGACCCCAAACTGTACTGTACATAGCTTAAAATATAATAAACCAAGTGCCATTGAAATAAAGGTTAAACCTTACCGCATGATTTGATTGAACCCAACTGCTATGCGAAATTTCTGTTCATTTTAAATTGTCGCCGAACCAGAATCACGTGATTTCATGTCACTCGAAAATACAGAAAAAAACTGTTCGGTAAGATAAGATTAAGATTTCAGTGTTCCCCTCTTCGCTATTTATAACATAATTACTTATTTCCATGCAAACTGTGATATGTGTTGAAAATTTGCGACTTGCGCAAAGCCTCGAATGATGTATCAATTGTAGCCTCAAATAAGACAGGGCGCAGGTAAATATTGTTGCTACTATTTAGGGTATATAGGGTGTGCGGCGCTTATCTGGACCCGAATAATATAACATATAATTTCATCAACTACAACATAGAAACAGAATAATAATTACACAAGCTTTAAAAGTCAAAACATAATTAAAGAGAGAACTCCGTGCTTTATAGTAGAAAATTATTTTCGCCTCAGTGACCACCGCCGCTAGGTATTAATAGAAATTCCACGAGCATCTTTGTCATGATTCACATTTGCAATGGGAAAATAACTTTGGTATCCGATAATTTACTGAGTCCTTTATTAAAGGGCGTATGGCCTTATTTTTGGAACCATAAATGGTTCCAAAAGCACATATTAATGTAATACGAGTGTATTTAAAGTGATTTATATTCATTTTTTTTTTAAATTTGTAAATTCGAATCAATTATGTTCGCTGAAATATGTGAACAGTCCAAACTGAACGACAGTCGTTTAAGCCTGCCTCGTCCGTTCTAAACTTTTTATTATTATTATTATTATTTTATCATTTGTGAATCAGCCATTACTATTTACTGTCGCATTGTAATTTAGGATATGTTTTTCCCTGTTCATTGATTTTGCGCCCGAAACGATATGGTAGGCTACTTGACTCGGGTATCATATATTAAAACGTTCAATGTGTCTTAAATATTGGATATTAGGATCCAACATTTTCACGGCAACATAACAACATCAATATGGATTGAAATGGACCAATATTGAATTCTAATTTGTGTTTTCAATTTCAAATATTATGGAAAATATTGAGTTAGAGACTTAGCGCCTTTAAGCCCTCGTCAACAATCTCACGAAACTGTTTGCTCGACCATTGCACGCTCATAAGAAATCAGTTTAAGCGGAGACGGGGAGATAGCCCAGGAAAGCATAGTCGAAATGTTATGCCCATGGTGTTTCGTGGCCACAATGAACTATCCAAAAGGGGTTATAACTTTTGTCTTGTATCCCGTCACAAGATTTAAGCGCCAAAACGTAAAGATAAAAAGCGCCGACCAGAAATTTGCGGTCCAAATTTTTGTTACATTTTTGATTATCGGCTACTTCATGCCACAATAAAAACTCGGTCAAGTTTTAAAAATAATCGTGAAGAACACTGCCCTAAATCAAGTCACAAACTTTAAAGTTAAAATAAAAACTGGGAGATAACTCCGAAATTCAAGATTTAGAAAATATTCTGAATTTCGATGAGGGATCTCCTAAGGCCAAAGTAAAACAAATGGTATGAACCCAGGGAAAATATGGTAAGATATTTAGAGTTGGGCGCGGCGTGGCAGATTCATTTTTGATCAATAATTATTAGAATTGAGAAAGACTGATATTTTGTGTTCATAATCTATGGAGAAGATCACCAAAACCACCAAAATATTATACACAAACTGACTGAAAAGCCGATATCCCAGAAAAGGGTTTTAAAGATGCTTTCTCACGAACAAACTGTGTGATTTGTTCAAATCACCACCAAAACTTTTAAATTGGAAAAAACAAACTACCTCGTGGCGTAGAAATGTATTTTAAACAGACCTGTTTGTCATGTAACTTGATTGAAGGAGAGCCCATAGATTGTATTTGTCGTTACTTGTTGTCCACTTGCCATACATATTGAAGCCTAAGTAAATTCTCTGATAGTCTTCCGCCAACCACACAGAGTATGTTGTACTCACTGTTCCCACAAGCTGACAGACAATATGCCGTATCTATATAGGGTTGCCATGCAGTTAGTGATACCCTGATAATTTTGCCCAGTGCTTGCCCCGTGGATGTTTTTCAGGGAATCCAGTATTTTTCAAGTAAGATTAATGGACGTCTCTACTTTCCATACATACCATACATACTTTTATTGGAAATAACTACCCTATAAATACTTTAGTAGGAATGTATCTTTAACATTATAAAAACGGTGTTTCAAATATTCGTTTTATTAAACACGCATAATGTGCGGGGTAAATTATTAACAGTAGATATCCTGTTGAAAACGAGTCTTGGACCTTGGTTCAAGTTCTAGTCCTATAACCCTTTTTAACCTGATCATCTTGTTTAATATTTTGTACTGTAAACTTTTATAAAATTCATGGATACGCCTTGTAAATTATTAGGACATTGGCTTCATGTGGACTCGATTTCAAACTATAAGATTAAACTGTTCAAACTAATTTATTACTTAATTTATTATCTGTATTAAATCTGCTTTCAAAATTTAAAGATTATTGCTAACTATAACCAAGATTCCCAAAAGGGTGTGACTTACTTATAATCAAGATTTATATGTTTTGAAATCAAAATAAAATTATAGCCCAGGTGAAATATGTAGGCTATTTGGATACCCCTCCATGATCCAGTAAACACTGTTTCTTCAGACTCATGATCATGTTATCGCACTTTTATGGGGGGAAAAAAATAACCCGAACTGCACGACGGCCTTCGCTTTTTAAATATCCGAAATTTACATGGCGTATGCTGCTATTCTATGCACCGTTATATTATATGTTACATACAATGGTGAAATAGTTTTGAAGATGGAGTTTAGATTTTCTGGGAATTGCTGGTCATTTCATCATCTGACATAGGCTAGCTGAAATCCAATATATTGAATCTTTTCGTGTAAAATATGTACGAAACCATCAACAAAAGCTTGTAATATTTTTTTCAGGGAGAGCTATTATTCTCGTCGTTTTCACACTGTCCAGGCTAAACATGGCACATTGAATTCGCCAGAATCAGCTGTAAACCCAATGGCGCGACCTTCGCAGTTCTCCGGCCCGCGGAGGTAAGAATGATTTTATAGTTCAAACATGGAAGCCATTCTGCAATCAGCTGGCCTACTTACACTCGGGGCTTTGGGTAAGAATTACGGCATTTCTACATTATTGGTGGCTATGGCAATGTTGGTTTAGGTGTATGAATGGTCGAATTTTAGATTTTAGTAGTTTATAGATGACGATAAGGCCTGACAACGTAGAAAAACGAACGCGACACGTTGACCTACTTTTGCTCATATGGAGACCCAATTTTCACTGGCTATGTCTGAAAGTCTTCCTTTACATAATTTTGCGTCGACTTCTATCGTGCATATCACTTTAATCACCAGTTTTCGTATTTATTCATGTGAGATGTATATTTAAAGACTGTTAACCTCTATATGTGAGTAAAATCAGACATTGTAGACGAAGGAATTCGCCTGGTTTATTTTTATTTGTGTCAATGACCTACCGCTATGGAAAAATGTACCGTTCTGGTTGGCTAATTCCAGTGTATAGCTCTGCAATGTTTACAACATTCTCCCTGTTCATTCATGAAATTTTACGCACAACACAAAATACGTTCACATTTAGAACTGGTAGTGGATTTTCTTGTGAAGAGTTACGTGATTTTCGATGATTAAAGCATTAATTATTTTAGCCTAGATCCCGACTGGTGTGACTGTCTGGTGGTCTAAATAAATTATTACTATGCCGGCATAGACTATGGTCTAGATATAGAAAATCCATACTCAGATCATTTAATTAGACCCTTCATAATAGCAGTTTCAGTTTCTAGGATACATTTTTTGAAATTTGAGAAGTATTACAAAATTTTTAATGATTTCCAATATATGTAATTCTTTGTGACATAATATAAATCAGATCATTTAATTGTTTGTCATCATAGGCAGAAAGTTTACATGTTGATAAACACACAGAGAAAAGCCTGAAACTGTTTTGTATCATTTCAGCTGATAGGCAGGAATTGTAAGATACCTTTTTATCATATTGATAGGTATTATTCTTGAAAATAGCACCATGTAGGCCTATATCCAGAATTTTAACACATATCTTATATGTAGGCTATGTGATTGTATGCTGTTCCCCATGGGCCTTTTTATGCAATAAAATTTATCTTATGATTCTCGATATATTTCAGTACATTGTGGCAGCCATAAACACAATGCATAATAATTTTTATTGTATAGAGATTTACGATTTTTGACATTATTTAAAGTGTAGAAAATGATTTTCATAGACATCATTATTAATTTGATTTTATTAAACACCTGACATTAGATTTTAATGTCTGAGAAATTAGTCATCTTCTAATTTAAGATATTCCCTCAGATATATCAATTATATCATGATCACTTTTAGAACAGTCTTAAATGTTCAATCTCCTTGTTAAGTAGAAAGTGTCTACAGTATATTAATTAAACAGTTCAATATACCTCTTAATATTCCTCAGAATATTGCTGTGTCATATCAATACTTAGTCTAATAACGCATATCAAAACCCCACAAATAGATGTACATGTAATCAATGTTTAAAAGTATTAATTATAATACCTCAATATACAGCAGTGACTGTCTGACTGAGCAGTCTGCTGTTGTGTTGGACAGCTGTAACTGTAACATTACTAACAATCAAAGTCAATCTTACTAATAGTAAGTGCAGGGTGAATACTGGGTGCCAATATATAAGCTTATTTATTGCATATAGCTTATGCATATTGCCTGTATAGTGCACAATTTGTAAAATTGCTATCTTGCAGTTTAGTGTTTTTTAAATTCATTTAATTACATATCACCTTTTCTTAATGGTGAAAAATAATTGTAAGCTTATGAATTAAGAGCACAACAAAACTGGACGACAGCTGTCACTACAAATATTGATGAATGGATACATGATTCAGTCCTTAGGGCAATGGGTCACCAACCGAGTCACCAAACAAAATCACCCCTTAATTTTCTGATATACAAAGTTAATATAATTTTAATATTAGGGTAATAAAAATGAGGCTTTATCAGATTGGTGACACCACCAATCAGTTAAAAGTAGCAATATTGTTATGATTTTATGAAAAAGTGCCTTTTGAAACATAAAGAAATGAAGACAAGAGTAACTAGAAATGCGAAGCAGTAATGACGGGTTTCACCGGTGCCACATTACCCTTGAACTTATGTCACTTCCGGTACCAATGAAACCGTTAAACAGGTTTCCACATAAGCATTGCACACATGAAATAAAATGGACGCAGAAACAACCAAATCCAGCAATCAATTCATTTGCTACATGTCAGTGATCCTGTCAAAATTACATTACTTCCGGTGATAATGAAAATGTTAAATTGGTTTATGAAATCAGAAATAGCATCATCACATGGTGAAAATTTTATGTAAATCCAATAATAATTGCCACCTTTATAGACCAAAAACCTTGAAAAATGACTTGTAGAAAATCGTCTATTTCTCTGCAACCGTACAAGTTAGAAACCATTTTGAGGTATCTGTATGATCGTATGAGTTCATTCTATTTGTTGATTGGAATCAAATATCATAATTTTAAAAACATTACAAATCTGATTCATTTGAATAAAATATCTGTTTTGAAGGCTAAAAATACAGTTTTTGCCAAAATGACGTTACTTCCGGTGATAATGAAAATCTTAAATTACTTGTATGAAATCGTAAATGGCATTATGTATCACACAGTGAAAATTTCATGAAAATCGAATAATAATTGACACTTTTATTGACAAAAAACCTTAAAAAGTGACCTGTTGAAAATTGCCTATTTCTCCGCAACTGAACAAGTTAGAAACCATTTTGTGATATCTATATGATCGTAAGGGTTTATTGTATTAGTTGATTTGAATCAAATATCAAAATTTTAAACAAATAACAAATATGACTCATTTGAATAAATTACTGGTTTCGAAGGCTATAAATACAATTTTTGCCCAAATTACGTCATTTCCGGTGATATTGAAAATGTTAAATTGGTTTGACCTAGTTAAAATTGACATTACACATCAAATAGTGTCACTTTTATGAAAATCGAATAATAATTGACTCTTTTACAGGCAAACTAGCGTAAAAAGTGACTCATGCAAAATTACCCATTTCTTGGCAACTGCGCATATTACAAATTAATTTTCACATACATTCTCTCCGTATAGATTATTGCTACGAGTTTATGAAAGTTACGAAGTAATATTTTAAAATATGAAAACGCTGGATGGGTTGTAAATGGCTTAATTTTACACCTTTTTTCACCTTTTAATCGAAATAGCCCGAAAATGGAATCGAAATTAAAAAAACTGGTCCCAACATATTGTGCGCCTTTAAAGGGTGCACAATTTCAGTTATACCAGATTTGAAAAAAATAATATTTGCTTTTGAAAAATGGTACCTAACTGTCAAAATTGTAGTTTTTTGTAAATTTACGCCACTTCCGGTGCCGACAGATAACACTATTGGTAACAAAAAAAATGACAATTGAGACAACGGAGCATATGAACTTTGTTTTATACAAATCGAACAATAAATAATTAATCTAGGACTGAAAAACTGAATTAGCCAATGGGGGCCAAGGAAAATTACCGAGACAAAAATTTTTCACATTTTTGCCCAAGTCAGAGGACTCGTTATATTTGTGTAAAACACGACTAAAAAATATTCATAAATAAAAAAGTTTTTGTAAAAATTTAAATTTTCTAAATTTGGCGCCTAATATCTGCGAAGATTTGCCGAAAACCAAAAATCAAAAGTAGCGTAGCTATGTGCCCCGTCTCCGGCTATGCCAAAATGTATCGAAAGTTAAAATCCAATGATTATTGTTAAAATTACTGCAATATTTCTAAAAACGATAGCATTGTCGCAAAACGTTCAAAATAGCTTTATCCTCTAAGTCACACCCACTTTTCCGATAAAACCGAAGAAATCATAACGATCCGACAATCAGTTGCTGAGATCTACTCAAAACAAAAGAAGAACTAGAACTGCGACGCAGTAATGACGGGTTTCACGGGTGCCTCGTTACCCTTGAATATATTTCACTTTCGGTACCGATGAAACCATTAAAAAGGTTTCCATATAAGCATTGCACACACCAAGTAAAATGTACGCAGAATCAACCAAATCCAGCAATATCAATTCATTGTATACATTTGTTACATGTAAGTGATCCTGACAAAATTACATTACTTTCGGTGATAATGAAAATGCTAAATTAGTTTTATGAAATCAAAAATGGCATAAGGCATCACATGGTGAAAATTTTATGTGTAAATCGAATAATAATTTCCACTTTCATAGACCAAAAACCTTGATCAGTGACTTGTAGAAAATCGTCTATTTCTCTGCAACCGTACAAGTTAGAAACCATTTTTTGGTATCTGTATGATCGTATTGGTTCAATCTATTTGTTGATTGGAATGAAATATCATAATTTTAAAAACATTACAAATCAGACTCATTTGAATAAAATATCTGTTTTAAAGGCTAAAATTACAGTTTTTGCCAAAATGACGTTACTTCCGGTGATAATGAAAATCTTAAATTACTTGAATGAAATCGTAAATGGCATTAGGTATCACACGGTGACAATTTTATGAAAATCGAATAATAATTGACACTTTTATGGACCAAAAACTTTGAAAAGTTACCTGTTGAAAATCGTCAATTTCTCTGCAACTGAACAAGTTAGAAACCAATTTGTGATATCTATATGATCGTATGGGTCCATTCTATTAGTTGATTTGAATCAAATATCAAAATTTTAAACAAATAACAAATACGACTCATTTGAATCAATTATTTGTTTCGAAGGCTATAAATACAGTTTTTGCCCAAATTACGTCATTTCTGGTGACATTGAAAATGTTAAATTGGTTTGACCTAGTTAAAATTGACATTACGCATCAAATCGTGTCGCTTTTATGAAAATCCAATAATAATTGACTCTTTTACCGGCAAACTAGCATAAATCGAGACTCATGCAAAATTGCCCATTTCTCGGCAACTGCTCATATTACAAACTAATTTTCACATACATTCTCTTCGTACGGATTATTGCTACAAGTTTATAAAAGTTGCGAAGAAATATTTTAAAATATGAAAAGCCTGAATTGGTTGTAAATAGCTCATTTTTTCACCTTTTTTCACATATACATGTAAATCAAAATGACCCGAAAACGAAATCGAAATTAAAAAAACTGAGCCCGATGTTTTCTGCGCCTTTACAGGGCACACACTTTCAGTCATACCAGATTTGAAAAAAATAATATTTGCTTTCAAAAAGTGGTACCGAACTGTCAAAATTGTAGTTTTTGCTAAATTTACGTCACTTCCGTTGCCGAAAGGTAACTTTACCGGTAACAAAAAAAATGACATTTTGGACCACGGAGCTAATGATCTTTGTTTGATACAAATCGAGTATTAAATAATTAATCCAGGACTGAAAAACTGAATTAGCCAATGGGGGCCAAGGAAAATTACGGTGACAAAAAAATGGTGCCATTTTTGGTCAAATCAGATGACTCTTTAACCCTGGGTAAAATACCACATAAAAATATTCATAAATAAAAAAGTTTTTTGTAAATATTTAAATTTTCAAAATTTGGCGCCTAATATCTCCGACGATTCGTCAAAAATCAAAAATCTAAAGAACCGTAGCTATGTGCCTTGTCTCTGGCTATGTCAAAATGTATCCAATATTAAAATGCGGCGATTATTGTTAATATTACGGCAATATTTCAAAAATCGACAACTTCGACGATTTTGGACATTTCGCATTATCGCAGAACGTTGGAAATAGCTTTAATCTCTAAGTCACACCCACTTTCCCAGTAAAACCAAAGACATCAAATCAATCCGACAAGTAGTTTCTGAGATACAATCAAAATGGAATAAGAAAAATAATAATAAGAATAATAATAAGAATAATCTTAACAAAAACAATAGTGTTTCACACAAGCTACCCAGTGTGAAACCCTAATAATAATAAAAAGAATAATAATTTTAACAAAAACAATAGTGTTTCACACAAGCTACGCAGTGTGAAACCCTAATTACATTACCTATTATATTTCAAGGAGCTGAACCAGTTTTACTATAAAAAAAATTAGATTTGTTTCATATTAGGGATTGGTGCCGTTGGAATGGTCAATGTAATCAGACACAAATTTCAATCAGACATTCAAGTTCTTGTACAAAATGAAGTGCAGTTTTGTATTGGTTTGTATGAAAACTTGAACAATTGATTGAATAAAATATTTTCACAAACGTATGAGTGAGAAGCTTAGTCTCTAAAAGAAATTTAATTTTATGGTTGTATGGATAAGTAACTATGTTTTCCAGCAACCATGCGTTAACTGTGTGTTGGATATTTTTTTTGAAAATAGTACATAGTCTACATATATTTAAGCTTAGGGTTTTTATCAACTAGCGTAAATAATGGTTATGCAATATGCATATGTATGCACTTTTCTAGGATGTCCTTTTAGAAGAACAGTTTAGACTACCTATTGTATGACTTTTCCGTTAGAAAAATCTGTTCACTGGTTAGAATTCTGATCGTCTCCTAAAAAATTAAGGACCGTGTTCTTGTTCATTGCTTTGAAACCAGTGTACACTTTTCACTCTTGTTTGAATTGCTTGGTGAGTCATTTTAAAGACGACTTTAAATTCTAGGAAACAACAATTATTCATACCTTTATTTTTAAAGGCATGTAGACGACAAAGCTGCATTTTTGCTTATACTACATAGTTATAGATACAAAAGGTTGCCAAATCTACATTCTGATCTTTTTGAAAGTTATTTGTTCAGTTGCTATAATTTTTATTCTCTATTTTAGCTATAATCGGCCCATAAACTGTTCAAATATGAGTGAAGGTCAGAAATTTCAAGCTGAAGGATATGGTGACACAGTAATACATCAATTGAATCGACTCAGACAGAATAAAGAATTGTGTGATTTTAAAGTTTCTGCAGATGGACGCGTTTTTGAGGTACGATACTGTATTTCATTTAATTAGTCATTTGAATATTTTGAAATATGTATTTGACTTCTTTCTACTACGAAAAGTACATTTTTATGGTACAGCTTGTCTCAATCTCACTTATAACCAAACATTTCTCAGATCCATCAGAAGAAAATCCACATGTCTGAAATATTCACATGTCTGTGAATAAAGATGAGTGATTTAACTAGGCCTGTTTTACAATACATTCATCAATACACCAATGTACGTGTACTGGGTATTCTTGTAGTTCTAAGATATTCAAAAAAGCTATGAAGCCGTTTAATTTTTAAACAAAGGTGGCCAATTGGGAATCCTTACTTACTCCCATCTAATCATTAAATTCTGTCTGCAAAATCTGATGGGGAATCAACGTTACAGTCAGATAAATTTGAAGTACTGTCTCTAATTTAAATAATTTAACCATCATGTACGTTATATTTTTAAAAAAATGTTTTTTTGACTGTGGTTGTTTACTTTTACAACAAATCATATTGTTATTGTCATGACGCACTCCCCATGAGTATCATTTAAAATTACCATTTTCCCAGTGGTATATTTAATGTTTATTCAGAGGATTGAAATAAAATTTTATGACTTATTCTGGTTTAAATAATGTATAAGACTAAATAACACACCTATCAAAGTAGGGATCGAACTGAGATTTTAGGCTGATTTTCTTGTACTCAGTGATCTGTTCGAAATTAAACTGGGATGGGACAAGTAGGTCAGGCATATGCTACAGGTGTCACATGAAATAAATTCATGGTCTGGTAGAATACACTTAATGGTTGTATATTGTACTTTTTATTTTATAAATAATATTCAATTACCTACTGTACTTATATAATAGTAACTGCAGGAAGACAGCACTAAATACAAACAAAACCGATAAGACAAACCTGCAGACAAAACAAACTACACAGACATTGAGAAGTTAATGGATCGAGGGGAGGGGGGTGCGTGTCGTAGGCTCCACGGCACTATACATTATTCAGTCACGGCCCTGTAATGTAAGCTTACATTTCCTAGAAATATATATTGGGTGTCACAGAAAAAATGAGTACCCATTTAAAGTGGATTAATTAAAACAGTATTGTAATTATATCATTAACATTAATAACATTTCACATGTTCTAAAATATGTTAAATCAAGTTTTGCTGTCCGTACTGATAAGTCAAATCACACTCACCTCTGTTTACATAAACAAATGGTCAATATGTCCTCCATCTTGCACTTTTTTTTCCCAGAAATCAAAATTATTTTGGAAAGGAGTGCAATCTTGGTAAATTTTATCTTGCTCAAACAGGATCTACAAAAATATCCAGTCATCATAATTCTTTATTTGTACTTTATATTAATCAACATTATATTGCTGGATAGCATGTAGTGTAACTATTTTCCAAGGACACAATTTTAATTACCAGTATGTTATATAAGTAGCTCATGGTTAAGATCCAGCAGTGAGAACACGGTTGTAGTTAGACGTAATATTATACTAGAGATGTAATTATATCATGTTGGATGGTATTTCTATATATCTGTCTATGCTATAATATTTCAATTAAAGATGCATTATACGAGAGCTAAATTTGCCTATTGCCAGGCATTTTTCTGGTTTCAAATGTTATATATATTATAATTTAGACATTTATTCACAACAAACCCACAATCAACTCTCCAGATCTTCAGACAGCTTAGATGTTGAGTGGATTAGACAATGTCTGCCATATCTGCGTTAAATGCTCATATATGCTGGCGAAGTCAAAATTTTCTGATCATGAAATAGTTCACTCATGTAGACTGTCGATAAAAGGGCTGACAATCAAGACTTTGTGTTTATTATCTTGGTAATGGTACATGTACTTGACAAAGAAGAATGAGAACACTCGGCAATCGACAAAACTTTCATAACTTCATTCCAAATGAAGTAATTTGACTGAAATTTTCAAAATATTCATTTTTAAAGGCCAGCTCTTCCTTTAAATCTTGCATAATATTTCTTTAATATACAACCCATTTAGATATATGTAAGGAAGGTCTATTTCAAATGCTTTACTATTCTAAATAAACTTGCCTGTGTCATGCCACAATGAATTAAATGCCAAATTTACATTCCCAGGTGGGAATAATTGTGTATGATTTGATTTAGAAATAAACCATTTCTCTCTATTTTTAGGTTCATAAAGCCTTGTTGGCGGCCACCAGCGACTATTTTAGAGTTATGTTTGGGGGAGTCATGGCAGAAAGCAAACAGAATGTTGTAGATCTCAAAGGTGTGTCAGCAGATGGCCTACAACATGTGATAGATTTTATTTATAGTGGAGAAATGGCCCTTCACCTTGATAACCTCACAGAAATCATTAATACAGCTAGTCATTTACAAGTTTCCAGTGCCATTGATGTCTGTAGTAATTTTATTACCTCTTTAATGACCTTTGAAAATGCAGACGATTTCTTGAATATTGCAGACACATATTCCCTGGATAAAGTCATGTCCCATTGGGATTCCATGATTCAGGACAAGTTTTTTGAGTTCACTCAAACTCAGGCATTTTTAAAGATGGATGCTGATAATCTTGCAAAACATTTAGAAAGAAACACCCTCAGATCTACCTCGGAATACAGACTCTTTCTTAGTTTGGATAAATGGTTTCGCTTTAATCCTCTTAGGATTACAGCAGACGGACCAAATGTTTTAAGTCATATTAGATTCGGTCTCATGTCAGAAGGAGAATTGGCCTCAATAAGAGAGAGTGAAATTATAAAGCGTTGTCCTGGAGCTCAACAATTAGTTGCTAAAGGCTATTTCTATCATAATGACTGTAAGAAAGGACACCCGTCCATAGAGGAAAATTCCAATGTAAGAAGTAGTTCTTCATGTTTAATATTAGTCCACCATGGTACACCCTACATGCCATTTCAGGTAACAGCATACAATCATAATGCAGGTTTATTTTATAGTATCTTCTCAGATGTGGATGGAAATCGTGATTGTCGAATCGCATCAGCAGATAATTTTGCATACATATGCCGTGTGGTAGATTATGGGGGTGGATCTTTAATGAGTTCTATGTTTCGTTTTGATCCACGCCATCTTGTAGGTCAAGAACTTCGACCAATGAGCAGACCTCGGTTAGATTTTGCTCTGGTTGCATTTAACCGGTGTTTATATGTATTCGGTGGTTCTACTGAACAGTTTGCGATACTTGATTCAGTCGAATGTTATAATGTGTTGACTGACTTTTGGGACACTGTACTACCTCTTCCAACTCCTGTTCATTCATTAGCTGCAACAAATTTTCGCTCGAAAATCTATTTATGTGGAGGTGTTTCTGGACAAGAGAGACAACCCACGAATACATTTCTTTGTTTTGATCCAACAACTCAAAGATACGAAACTAAACCAGGGATGTTTTATGCTAGAAGATTACATGACATTGTTGGTTATGAACAGAGAATCTTTGTATTGGGTGGGATTCCGCGTCCCGGGATCCCTCTACACGGCCAAATTCCTATTGAATGTTTTGATCTGAGGAGCAATCAATGGACCATGCTATCATCTACACTTAGCGGTCGTTCCATTGGACATTACATCAACTTTGAAGGTCAGATTCTTTCATTAGGACACGAACATCACAATGCTACAGAAGATGAAATCTGGCTCTATGATGCAGACCTTGATGATTGGTCCAAATATGCAAAAGCTCCACAGCGAACAAGTTTGAATTCAGCAATGTGCACTCAGCTCTTTATTAATTTTGATGATGAAAAAATCTCAAACAAATATATGAAGGAAAAATGATAACTGTTTTAATATGATACCTAAATATTGTAATCTCGCATGTCAGTCTAGATGTAATTCAGTATATATATTATATATATATATATAATATATATTGTTATTCTCTAACTGGAAATTTGATTCATTTAATTCCAGACTTTGATTGAACATTTGATATAATTGTGTCAATTGTGCAATTTAATGTCAGAATCCTTTAATAAAGTATGCAGTCTATGAATTTGATCAAGACAGTTGTACAATTTTAATTGTTAAAGTTGGATTAAAACTGCTGCCAAGGCAACATTTACGTCATAGCACACTGCATTGGTGCACAAAAGTACCCTGTAAGTAGTTAATTTACACTACGTTGCATTTTATTTTGGATTAAGCTCAAATATTTGATGATCATGGCTAAATTTGAAGGATTGAGACTGCTTGACCTGAAAATCGGGTGTTCAGTTTGGTTAATCTGGTGTTTAAATGTGTGGTGGAATAGTGAGAAGGCATCTCAGATTTGACCTGTTCCTTGGACATATATTTTAAACACAGATGAAAATTTATCTGGCAGAACACATTAAATTTAACCAAACTGACACCAAAAAGAAGTCATATCATTACAAATTACAAACAAAAAAATGTCTTTTAATTATCTTACACTTGCCGTAATAATAGGTTTTGAACAAAGAGAAATGGTCAAAAACAGTAGCCATTATTAATGTCAATTCTTGATAATTGTGTCATTGCAAAGTGCACAGATGTAATGTTTGATATATCCAAATTCAGCTGGATTTTTTGAATATGAAAACAAGTCTAGTAACATTTAAGGCCTATGGTTTTATGTTTGGGTTTAGTATAAGATGTACCATATTTTCTGATTCTTATAAATTTGAGCTGAAATGTATCTTAACTGCGGTAGGAATCCAGCTTTAATAATTATAAATTAAATAAGTCATAAATAGGCTTGTAATACTACCTGGTGTTTATTTATATACATTGTCACTGCTATTGTAGTATGTAAACCTATATAACGTACCCATTATCTTCAATAATTAATTTGTTAGAATTACAAGTCATACCGTTATATATTGTGCACGTTTTATAGTTGTCTAACATGTCATTTTTCATCATCATCATCATATTTCTCACAACTTTTTTTTATATAAAACATTATGTTTCCCTAAATAGACTAGATAAGAATGATCATCGTAGGTAAGACTGGGATACAATTAAAGGCTCAAGCCACTAAAAGCAATATGAAGACGGACGCACATTTTGTAAAATCATGTACACATATGGAAGAAAATATGAGGTATAGTTGAAGTATTAAAAATAATGTGATAGGCTTTTTTTTATGGCATAATCTAATTATGTATGCTTTCTCTAAAAGATACTCCAACTGTACCTGTACATACAATGATGTAATGCTTGTTTTACCGGGTAACAATAATTTGTGACAATAACTAAGAGATTCACTAAAATAACAAGAATGAAAAACTTGATTCATAAAGACTTATGTTAATATATTTTTTTTATATCAATGAATTGATTATTGGCATGATTTGAATGTTTGATTTAATAGAGGTAATGAAATTTAGCTAGCTTAATCTGTAAATATGCTATTTAAATATTTCTTTGAAAAATGGAATTTTCAATTTCAGATTATAATATTCAGATGTGTTTGCAGAATTCCCAATAGTTAATGTGTCTGTAATTAACAAAAGGTTACATTTCAGTAATGTTAATGTCACATAGTATGAATGTTGTTATCTTGGTATATATGTTTCTTGATGAGGATAAATGTAAATAGGGAATAGGATATTCTGTTAATGAATGGTGTTCCTGCCTTTTTGTTGTGATGATATTCTGAGTGGCATAAAATCTTCCTGTTGCTTATTTTCTTTTTTGCTTTAATGTTTATATCATATTTTTGCAAAGAGTTGCTACTTCTACCCTTTTATTCTGACCCGGTGAGTTTTTTTTGTTTTTTTTAATTATTTGTACAGTATTTGTGTTATTTTGTCTTAACTGAAACAGTAGTGGTTCTACTTGAAAGAGATAAAGAATAATTTCTTGAGTTTAAAGACTACTTTTGTCTTTGATACCATGGATGTTATTAATTGAAAGGCATGGAAGGTGTTAAGTACAATTCTGTTATCTCTCAGTTTAAAAATGGTTTCATTCATTAAAATACTTAAAATTCCTGAAAATTAGTAGACATCTTGTTGCCCTTATTAACTGTTAGTTATTTTCTTTTCGATTCTCAGTGTTGTGTGTATTTTCTTTACGGAATAGGAAAAGATTTGTGATAATTGTGCTCAAGAAAGAAAGTTAAAACTTAAAACCTAATGTTTAGTTCTGCTGTTTTTGCAAACTTGTGATTCCTACCATAAAAGCATTTAATGTAACAGAAATATGGTGGTTAATGAATTAAAGTTTATTTTTTTTTGGCTATAGTAATGGTGTATATTATATGTAAAATGTATTTTCATGTATGTTTGTAATGGAAAAGAAGGATTATAATGTGTTTTCGTTGATTTTCCTTTAGTTAAAATCATGAAATGAATGCAATCAAATTGTGATGTATATTTTGTTATGCTTAGACTTCTCTACACTAATGGTTCAAAATAGTATTTGGGAGTAGTTTGATTCAAAATAAGATGAAAAATCCTATTTATTTCTTAGTTAAGATATTAATATCTCATATGACATTAGATTAATTAATTATTTAAGGAATGAAAAATGAAGATCCAGGAACTGGAATCTTAACTATGGTAATTTTATTTCTAATTTATTTCTTTATTTCTGAACTTCTCAAAGGTATGAATAAGAGATAAAAGCAGGTTATAGAAATTAAGTTACAGTAACTAAATATACATTATATAATAATGGTACATACAAATTATGTATTTATTATTAATGTACTATAATTGTTATCTTAAAAGGTGCCAAAGTTTGTGCAGTCTAGATTTGTTGTTATTGAAATAATGGATGTGTTTGTGGATATTTAAAATAATGAAAGTATTGTTGCCTGTTAAAGTTCTTGCCGTATATAAGTGAGTGATAAATGTTGGAAGTTACAAATTGGAGATTTTCGATCTCGATAATAGTTGTTGAAATATATGTAATTGTTATCTGTGTGACGTAACAGATTTCTGATATTGTTAGAAGTTGTTATCCAAAGAGGTTTTTGAATGAGATAACTTTGGAATTTGTTGATTCTTGATGTTATTCTTATATCCTTTTTCTGAAGTCATAAACAGTTAGGACTTGCATAACTCTTGTACTTGCAGTTGGTATGTTGTATCGGCAACTGTTTGTAAAACAACAAATGTTATTAATTTCCATAAAGCTAGAAGAGTTGTGATTTCTATAAATCTAGATGGGTTGTTGTCTCTATAAGATTTCAGAGTACTGACTAAAGTACTGTTGTTGATTACCTTTTGTTGTTGACCCAGAATTTAAAGTAGTTAATTTGAATAAGTATTCTAATACAATCTTTGTATTATGCAGTATCTCAGTTGTCATCTATCTTGGTACATGGCATCACTATGTGTTTGTGGGTTCCAGTGCTAATCATTGTGAGATCTCATTGTTTGCTATATATTGTTTCCCAGTTTGGTAAATGATTGATCCATGGTACTGTTGATTGATGTCTCTTTTCAATACTACTACCATGCAAAACGAAGATGTGTTTGCAGCTGTCTGTCCAGAAACCATTCTTTCATAGAGGCAGGAGGAGAGGATGGTTCTTCACCACATTTACATTGTCTATGAAAACTTATTATTGAGAAAAGATTACTGATGATGTATTTATTTGACAATGCTAGTAATTATCATTTTGTTGTGAGGTCTTGACTTGTATATATAACTATATAGTCCTCTTTCTACCTTTTATGCACGCACACTAAAATGTGTATGTATATTGCCCTTGGTCTGTCCAATCTGTCTGTGAGTTCTCAATGTGCATTCATCATTAATGCATTGTTAATTGTGCAAAGAAAGTAGATTACTATGAATTTCAACAATTACTGCCCTTATCTACAACGCTCAAAAAGCAAAAGTTATGCGTATTATCTGATGTACTTGCAATTTATATACATTGTTATCAAAGTACAAGATATTTAATTTCAATAGTTTCGGGTAACAATTCTTAAGCAACATGAAGCATGCTATTAAATCTCAAAAACTATGGTCCCTGTTCACTTTGTACTATTTTTCTGATGATTAACTACGACATTTTCGTGATGTATACTATGCATTTAAGAACTATTGATAAAATTGTGAATATAATTGGTCATTATGGCCAGGACATCAAAGCTACTGATGGGGGTATATTTAGATGCCTGGCAAATTAATTTTTTTATACGCCCACATTGAAATGTGTTAGTATATTGTCGTCGCCCCCATCTGTCCGACCGGCCATTATGAACGCTCTAGAGGCTAAAGTGTTTAAGGTCATGAGACGAAGAAGCCTATTGATTTTCAGCGATTTCCGATAATTACTACCAGAGTTATGGCCCGATTGACATTAAATTTATACACAGTGTTTATGGTCATGAGATGAGGACGCCTATTGATTTTCAGCAACTTCTGATAGTTACTGCTAGAGTTATGGCCCTTGATCACTTTGAAATATCTTGTTGAGTCTAAAGTTAATATCCGATTGACTTTAAATTTATACATACTGTTTAAGGTCATCAGACGAAGAATCCTATTTTCGAAAATTACTGCTGGAGTTATAGCCCATGACCTCTTTTAAAAAATCTTGTAGAATCTCTTGAGGCTAAAGTTAATATCTGATTGACTTTAAACTTATACACAGTGTTTAAGGTCATGAGACAAAGAATCCTATTCGTTTTCAACGATTTCTGATAATTACTGCCATATTTAAGGCACTTGATCACTTACTTTGAAAAACCTTGTGGACGCTCTAGAGGCTAAAACTCTATTTCATTCATTCATTCACTCTAGAGGCTAAAGTTAATAGAAATTGTTTAAGGTCATGAGAAAACAATCAGAACAGATTCTAATGT